ATTTAATGAAACAAAGTTGTCCAGCCAATGATTGAGGTGGAATTCGAAAAATTAAACGCATCCCATTTTTTTTTTTTATTTGTAATATATCAGAGTGATTACAGAAGAACAAAATAAGGCAAATAGTCTAGTTCAATGCATCAACTACAATTGCACACTTCACAGTGCTTGTTTAGCAAGCGGAGATATACAACCCACATCTCAATGTACGTCAAAGAAAGCTGATGATTTGCAAGCGCTGTTTGTAAGACGATTCATGGTTAAATTATAGGCCAAAACGCGCGTCAGCTATTCAAACTAGTGTTGCCAAAAAGATAATAGCTAAAAAATCACCCTTTAGATAAACTGGCGCCAAGTGCTATCGAAAATTATTCACTCTTGAAGGCGCATAAGAACTTTACCTCTCCAGTTGATGTGAACACACCAATCAGAGACATAAACGGTTATTGGTTATTGGTTATTATACGAAGAAAAGGCCAAATGCAAAACATTTAACATGGTGTTCCATAGGTGTGAATGTCTAACATTAAATGAAAAGAAGAAATCTCCAAGCGATGACCTCATTACTAGTGCTGCTCTCTGAACTCTTTAAAATCTTTCTTAAACTACTTTCCAAACACGTGATAGCCTAGCCAGGTAAAGACCACACACAGCGTTTTTTTTTACAGACCAATTAACCTATCAATTAAACACCAATTTCGTTTTCGTGAAAAACTGGTTCTGTAGAACAAGTCAACCAAACTACCAACAAATTAGAAACGCATTCGAGGTCCAGGAGTATTGCTGTGTAATATTTTTTTACAAAGCACAAGAGTTCGACAAGATTCGACTTAAGAGTCTATTACACAAAACTTATAAAACTTTGCCTATCCAATTCTACAACATATTTGAGTCAAATTTGTCTAACAGGCGGTTTCCCGTAAAACAATCGAAATACTTTCCAGTTGAAGCTGATGCTTCTCAAGGCAGATGTTTTTGGCCTAGAATATTAAATACACTGCAAGAATCTCAGTAAACCGAAAAGTACAAACAACCATTTTCGCGGATGACACAGCCATATTATGCTAGAAAAAATGTCCTAGAAAAGCCCCGAAGAATGGCAGGAAATTCCCAATCAAGCGATGAAACTTATCTTGGCACTTTGATAGAAGACTCACTTGGAAAAGACACTTACGCAGATGCCAATTTACATATCAAGCTCAAAAAAGGAATAAAAGAAGCTAGCTTAGATTGGCCTAAACAAAAATACACTGAAAATAACAGTCCGAAATTCTAAAGGTAACAATCGGCGCTCTGTGGTACGTTCATTACGTAAACATACATTAAGGCCTTGGTATCCTACTGGTTAACTCTAAAGTTGAAAAGAGCAGAACGAGGCAAATCATGGAACTGAGAAATCGTCAGACGTCATTAGCAACGCATCCAGAAATTCTCGCCACCATAGTTTCATAATGGTTCTGAGTTAAATCGAGCTAAGAAAATTTTAATTTAATCTTAGACTTAAGTTTATTAAAGCAGAATCAGTGGTGAATGATTTACATTGAAAAAATTTAATTATAAGATAATTATTGAGACAATTGAAGGGGCTGCACATCAAAGTAATGACGGTCGCCGGTTCCATCAGATAGTAGTAAGAGGAGAAGCTATGTTAGAGACAAAAGATCGTCCTCCTGAATACTCCAAGTGCGGGCTTATTGGACCTTAAGCAAACGAAATTATTCATAATTTACGAGTTGTTGTAATGAACAATGACGTAGGAGCTCAAACGCGAGTGGGCTGGCTTTTTCCTTACTACAACGGAATAAGTACTCGTATTAATTTCTCCAACATTAAAATAATTGAACTTACACGATAAGGTGTCACCTTATCCGAAATCGCTTCTGGTACTATACAGTAATATAACTTTTGGCATCTAACGTCATAATATCACCTGAAGGCCTTACAGTATGTACGAGTATTCTACGATTCTTTACCGCCCGCATATTTTATAAAATAATTCGGTTAGAGCTTTGAAAGATAAACGGGGCAAAAACCTACAACTATTATTATTACTATTATTTATTTTTTTAACATAATTTCTTTATAAGTAACATACTCGTACATATATCAATATGCATAATGCAAAATTTCTTTAATTTCTTTCTGGATTTTATACCAGATTCATATGTTTAGGTAAATGATGCAAGAAATTATACAGTAAAATCAGTGGAATTTGAATGTTTTAAAATATACATTTTAATCATTTTTAAGTGTTCAAATTCTTTGGAATCGGCAGCCGTTTAATTGAAAAGCTTAACGTTTTAATTATAAAAAAATGCTAGTTGTGTATTGAATATTTCTACTCATCAGTTCGTTAATTCGAATGTGTTATCGCTCAAGACAAATCAAAAAAATTCTTTATAAACAGGGAAAAGAAATTAAACCTGTCAAGACATTTTTTAACTTATTTTATTGGTTTGAAATAAAAATAATAATTTGAGCAAGAGTTTTCATAAATCAACAGCTCCAAGGAGTAACATTCCTATGAATCTAATCGAGATAAGAAAATTTACTGCACAGGAAAAAAGCCGCGCACAGCTCATTCAATTTCTCTTGTCTATAAATGTACATATGTATGTATGTTTATACATTTAATTTTGCGCATAAAATTTTAAAGTATTTCAATTTGAAGTCTTCGATTCAGCACAAAGCCTCCATGACAAATGTTTTTCTGATTAAAAGTCTTATTTACAAATAAATATGTGCAAATGTTTTACTTTATATACAAACAACTGTCAATATGTATTTGCGTTAAATTAAATGCAAACTAATGCACGTCCACAAATATATACACGTAGGCACATACATAAATTGCATTAACACAACAGAGTGTCCTTGACGATACAAATTTTATGTGTCGCCCTGTGTGTCTCCTCTCAATAAATATATTTCCATAAGTATAATATATACTGGTACTTATGTGAGTATGTATTTTAAGCTCATTATATAAATAAATGCATAGATCTGTATGTATGTACTCAATAAGTAATTTTATGTAGTTATACACATACATATATTAGGGTGGTCCAACAATTGTTTTTGTGAAAACCGATTTTGAAAATTTCTTATAGAACTCCATGCGATTGGAGAAATGGTACACATATTCGTGAAAATTCATAACGCCGCACATACGTCAATTGGGTGCCTGAACAATAATCATTAGAGGGCGAAAAATTTTCTTCAAAGACGAGGTGCATTTCTCACAAGGGGGGATACGTAAATAAGAAAATTTTTAGCATTTGGGGATCCAAAAATCAAGAGATCTTTGGTCCGCCGAGACTGTCACGACTTAGTTTCAACAAGATGGTGTCTCATACGACACAACACCAATGAATATAGACTTATTGTGAGAAAAAATGTTTGGCCACGTAGCTTCTCGTCTTCGCGATGCCAATTTACCACCGAGATGGTGCGATTTGACCGTGATTAAATGGATAAGCTCTTAATTTTTGAGCACTTAAAAACCAACATTCATTATGACTGAGACACCGCCAGGTAACATATAATGCCACGGTTCAAACATTGTAAAAAAAATTATTTAGATTTTTTTCAGAGAAAGTCTTCCGGAAAGACTAAAAAATAAAATTGTGCTAAGCACAACACTGCAATAAAAGGAATATTAATGAACATACGAGCTTCAAAGGTTTTGCCACAAAAAACTTAGAGCTTCCACTAGTTAGTTCCCTTTCAAGTAAAAACGTGGTAAACATAAGGGTCATTGAACTGCATATGTTTAAAAAATATAACATTCAATTCAAGATATTGGTTTGGTGAGTGAATTATCACGATATACATATATTATATATAAAGTAAATAAATTTCAAGAAAGCTTTCTTTTACTTATGATTTGATGTAGGGTTTGCTACTTGACCGAATTTGATAAAAAGTGACAATATAGGCATTTAACTTATAGGGCTGAAGATGTTTTTAACTTTAAATATAGGAAATTTTTATTTTCGCTAAGATTGTTGTTGAAAAATTTTAAAAAAAAACGTGTATGTAGTAACTTTTTTTTATTAAAATTGTTTGGGTTACCACACAAAAATTGGTTCACCATTTTCAAAAAAAAACATCTTTTGGGCCACCCTTATATATTATAGGCATTAATTGTTGTGTACTGTCATTACTTTTCGTATTCCGCAGCACAAAATCATAAAACAAAATGGAAAATTTCACTGCATAGTTTTCATTTCTTTTTTCGCTAAAAATAAAATAAGGAAAAAAACCTTCACACGTGTTTCTATCACTTACATATGTATGTATGTATATATATATATGTGGGAAGTATTTTCTAAGTAAAGTCAAGTCGGTGTGTACACTAAAGGGAGTAGAAAATGTAACTGTAAATAAAAGGGCAGATGAAAATTTGCACGAATCTTACACAAATCAGCGCTGGAATAAATTACACATACATGCGTACATAGATAGCAAACAAGCACACACACTCACATATATATATATTTTGTACTAAATATACGTACATACAAAAGCAAAAAAAATACAAAAACTATTTACTTTACATATATGTATATGTAGACAAGCAGCATTTGTATGTATGTAAATAACAGTAAAAAATTCAGAAAATAAAAACACAAAAGTGAGCAAAAATGAGCAAGCGCCGCTTGCCCATTAATAATTTGTATGTATGTATAAACATTTAAAGCACACAAGGGAAAACGCGTAGCAAGCAATAAACACAAACAAAAAAATTATTTCAAAGGAAGAGAATAGGAAAAGCAAAGCAAATTACCGTAAATTAAGTAAATTCTCGTTTGAATGCTAATAAATTAAGAAAACAAACAAATTTAAAAAAGATAATAAACAAAGAAAGCAATAAATTAGTAAAGAACTTAGAATGAAACCAAAAACTGAAAAACAAAAACGCATAGCAAACAAACAGAGAAACAAAACAAAAGAAACAAAAAACAAAAAACCAAAAACCCACCCACTGCACTTTGTAGGTTCTGACAAAGGATAGCGTCACCGTCTCGGTGGATGCAGTGGTTTACTATCGCGTTTCGAATGCGACAGTTTCTATAGCGAACGTGGAGAATGCTCACCATTCGACCAGACTTTTGGCACAGACTACTCTACGAAACACAATGGGAACTCGGCATTTGCATGAGATACTCAGCGAGCGAATGACAATTTCCGGCACAATGCAGGTGAGTCACCCCATTTTCCAACTTTTTCGCTTTATTTTCAGCATATTTACGCTTCAAAACAGCAGCAGGTCATCAAAGCATCACAACATCAGAGTCAGACCATCAACATAAACATCAGCGTCAGCCTCAGCTTTAGCTTCATCTCAGTGAGCTTTAGTGGTTTATAGTGTCAAAGAGCGGCAGCCACTGAGTTTGCCTGACATTTCTCACTATTGCATGCATAGCAAAGCCATGACAGCATAGGCAGCGCACGAATATACCTTTATGGTTTATACCACAGAAAGTTACATTTCTCATCTCGCATTAGTGAAAATTTTTGCACATAAACATATACTATTTGCACTTACAATCCAATACATTCCAAGCTACGTCATGCTATGCCATGTTGCGCGCATACGTATTTGTATATCTTCGTTTATGAAGTCACCTAAGAAGTAAAATCATCAGCGGTAGCCTCCGGCGGTGGTGACAACGGCAGCTAATGGAGCGTGTGACTCGCACGTGATATGTGGCAGGCCAAATTGAAACATCTGCGAAGGTTGAAATTTCATTTGCTGAGTTCCTGCGTTCTCGGTTGATATAAGCAAATGGCAACTTGAGCATGACAGCTGAGGAAAATATGCAATTGCAATGCACTCCCACGGAGCGAGAGAAGTCATGAACCGACAATATAAACCCTGTGAGAAAGCTTTAAATTTAATTCAAAGTACAAGTTGTGGTCTTCATCTAGATATTTTAAAGCTGCAAAGGAGGCAGATCATTCTTCCTCCATCTCCAACTAAAATTAGTTGAAAGTTAAAGAGAAAAAGTTCTTAGGGTCAGACGCTCTCTCTATTGTATTGCGACATTTGCAGTATGGCCCTTTTGCCAATAATAAAGAGTCATAGTGGGTCAAAACCTTCAGGCGTTACTTCGCTGCCATCCTTGAGATGTCGAAGATACGTTAGTGGGCCGGCACTGCTATTTTTATTTTTTTTATATTGGTTTCTCATGCTCCACTGCTAGATGGCAGACTTGCGTTTACCTTGTGGCCGTTTTTTGGCTGGAATCTGAGGTTTGAAATATTTAATATAAACTAAACCTTAAACAAAAATTTAAACTCTTGCGTTATGGTTATTTTTGTGGAAACTTCATAGAATCTTCGGTATTTCTGCAATGTTGAGATATCATCGTGAATGCTAATAGACCTGAGGCTCCTTAAATTGAGGAAAGATTAAGAAAGTTAAATTTTAGTTATCTCCGAATCTGTGATGCAAAGCTTTCATTTTATGTCAAATTTTAGGGATCGCTCTGAATTCGAATATGATCATAACGGGTGACTAGGTTAGGAAAGATTTTGAACAATATATCCGCTGCAACCAAAAAAGTTGTAGATTTAATCCTCCGAAACATTATTTCACTTAAGGAACTAGTGTTTTCTGTGCGCCAAAGTAACTATATTACTGTATTCGACTAAATTACATATATACTTATCACTGGTTTTAGAAATTTATTTTTCAATAATAAAAATCATGAACTTGCAGTCGTCTATTACATTTCTGAGTCCTTTTGTTGAACTGTACGTTCTAAGATATTTGTGCACATCTTACGAGAGACCTACACCGAAGATCTAAGTGCAATATGTACACCTGAGCGACCTGAAACCCGGTAAACGTGCAACTCCTACTTTCCCTCTGGGTATTTTTTACCCGAAATATAATTTGCACATACAAGCGACCAACTGGAATCGTTCCACCAATATATGCACTTGTGAGCCCATGAATATGCATATATGTATAAACATACATTTGCAACTGAGTGTGCAAGAATATTCATAAAGAGAAGTATTTATTTGCCTGTCGTTGCTACTTCTTCGTATGCGAGAATACTCGTGCATACGACTATTTTCGAAGTGAAAGAGATTTCCTCAGGTGCAAAGCATAATGCCTTTTAGCCATATTCTATGGCGTTCACACACTTGACACAATTTTCAATTCAACAGCAGTGCCAGTTACAGCAATAACAACAACAAAAGAATTGAAAGAAAGAAAGAAAAATTCAATATTCATACATGCGTTAACAGTCACACTCTTACAGTATGCATACTTATGTATAAGCATATAAGCAGTATATGAGTCAAGTAATTTTAAAAAGAAAGTTACAACTTCTAGACATTACTCTTGTGGCAAAGAAAAAACAATAAAAAACTACTCATAAAAGATTCATAACGAAATAAGAGAAATGTTTCTTTGTCCTTTTATTTTGGTAATAGACGAACTAAAGGAGTCTCAAATGAAATTATTATCAACAACAGCGCACCAGATGTTTCTTACAAACAAACCTTCTCCATCCGATGTTTTAAGCATAGTGGAGGATTTTCTCTTCCTTTCTTGGTAGCTCCGCTGAAAAATACGAGAAAAAAAGATGTTCTTTAATTTGCTGAACTATGATACTTTACCGGCCACAGTTGCCTAGTGGCTACCCATTGCCAAGGTTCGAGTCGTAGTGCCAGCAACACTCAAAATTACAATATGAAAATTATATTTTCCTAATTGCGGTCGCCCCTCAGCAGAGAATGGTTGAGGATACAAAAGCTTCTCCTAAAAATTCATCGACCGTTTGGGATTAGCGTAGAATAAACAGTAGCTCCCCCTACGACGCACGTGGTTTCAAAAGTACAGGGTTATATTTTGACATCTGTCAAATTTAATTGCCAAGCCGAGCATGTTTTTTTTACCTAAAACTCAGGCGCTTAAGAAAATGGATTGCTAATCATCCGCACAATGAGTTAAAATTGTTAAAACCTGCTTCATAAACGGTGATTCATACGTGACGACGTTTTGTGCTTCAACAGGAGATTATGGTGCACATAATCGTTGAACTAGTTTTAATGAAGCTTGATGGGTCATAAGTACGTATACTCTTGAAAATGGGTGAGCTCGGTCCAAGGTCACGCCCAGTTCTCATATAACGGTAATTTTGCGAATTGTGATGGCCGTTATAATTCAGTAATTAAATTTTCAATAAAGGCCATATACGTTTGACACTTGCGAATGAAATAGGTTAAAATAAAGACGGAAAATTTTCGTGTGAGGGTGTCACCAAAAAAAAAATATAGAAAATGTATTCCTTCATATAACTCTCGCGATCTATTACGAACACAAATTGCAATAGGACGCAATGGACTGTTCACTTTCCACGCCTACTTGACTCAATATCGAATATTTAAGGCATTCATCAACAGAACTCAACCAAGAGCAGTGAGTGGAGTAGAGTTCACAAACAAGCCTGTATCCCATAGGACTGGTCTCTAGTCCGCTTTAGAGGAGTATTAAAAACGAAATAAAGTATAACTTTTAATTCAATTAAATTTTGCATATTAAAACATTCCAATTTAATGGAGTGCATTTCGACATTTTCATTTAGCTTCCTTCAGTGGCCTGCCATCTCTTCAACTCGTTGAAAGACGTTCCATGAAATAAATTTGACATTTGACAATTCCTTGTGCGCACACAATGACATCGCGTGAAATGGCTTGACATTTGATAATATATACAAGCAAACATGTAAATCTGCTGAGAAAGATGCATACAAATGAAAACAGCAAGCAAGACCAGTTTAGGGTGAAACCAATGTCCTTAAATTTAAAAAAAGAAGAAGCAGAATTGAGAGCCTTGCTAGGCCGTAACGGTGGAAGATTTCGATTTTTTTCTTGAGTTCTTCTTTGTGCAGATAAACGGAGCTGTATTTGGAGTATATTAATCAGCCATGGTAAATAACTTCCCAGTCCAGCACACCAATTTCGTCCTCCCAGTAGAACTCTGAAAGAAATAAAGCAGACAACTAAAATTGAAATTATGGGAGAGATTTCTGAGTATTCCTGTGTTGATACATTCAATATATCTGTTTTTAGAGAAGTATGCCCTGATTGGGCGGCCGCGTAGCCGAGTGGTTGGCATTGCCTGCTCCCATTCGGAAGGCTTGGATTCAAATCCTAGTATCGTACCAACATCCAAAAATTTATAGAAAATTATCATAATTAAAATAAAAAATTAAGATACATTTTCTAATTGCGGTCGCCCCTCGGCAGGGAATGTCAACCCCTCCGAGTGTAACTCTGAAATGAAATAAAGCTCCTCATAAAAAACCCATCAGCCGTTCGCAGGCGGCTTAGTATAAACTGTAGGTCCCTCCATTCGTTGGGAAAACGTCAAGACGCAAAACAACAAATGGTATGAGGAGCTCGGCCTACCATTTTCCCAGCATGAGCACTTATACCAAATATAAGCACCCCTTCTTTGCTTCTAAGCCAAATTAGACTATTTTTCATGTTTCGAACAACTCGTCTCACCCTTCACCCTCCGCCGGCTGTACACTTTTGATTATTATTTACAATTAAAAATAACCGTATGGTAAAAAAAATGAAAGTACTCCCATCCAACGCACATCACGGCAACTGAAAAAATACTTTTTCATATAAATATTTGCATATAATTACACATATACACTTGTGTGTAAACCTCCAAGGATGTGTATTTGTTACATTGTATTAGTAATAAGTTTTTCACAATTTTGTTATCGCCGCTTGCTTATATTCATACATATATGATATGTGAATATGTAAATGCGCTCATGCATATAAAGATAGAAGATGAAATTTCACTTTGCTTGTCGATGTGCGCGATGCTTGTGGCATAAACAAGCGTCACCTATCTGGCACGCACACTCTCTCGCACTAACATGTTCTGCGTCTGCAATGGCATCTTAAATATACATACAGTCGACTCTCGCTCAATGAAACCTGCGAATTATCGCATCAAAGACATCATGAGCCGATCGATACCAAGCGCGGTTTCAGATAGTGCGATTCCTAATCCTATGATTTCTTTAATTTATTGCTGGAGAAAATAATACGAACTGCAGACAGAGTCTCCTCTCTCCGAGAAAGTTAAACTCTACTAGTCCCTCATCATCCCCGTCCTACTATATGGCGCAGAAGCGCGAGCGATGATGAGTCGGCTCCAGGAGTCTTCGAGAGAAAAGTTTTGCGAACGATTTATTGTCCTTTTCGCAATGGCAAAGGCGTAAATACCGCTGACAATGCAACGATGAGCTGTGAGAGCTTTGTGATGATGTTGACATAGCTCAGCGACTGAAGAGACAGCTACTACGCTGGCTAGGTCATGTCGTCCGAAAGGATCAAAGCACTTCAGCTTTGAAAGTATTCGATGCAGTGTCCGCTGGTGGAAGCATCGGAAGAGGAAGACCTCCACTCCGTGAGAAGGATTAGGTAAAGGACGACCTGCGCGCTATAATTAATTCGCTATAATCGGCAATAAAAAAGAGGAAGAATTCCCACGTAACAAAGCTTGGATCATCGTACACAAGCTTGGTTTGTTTAGTTAAGTTTCAGTTCCTATTTTTTGAGTTCTAAAAAGTATAAATGCTTGACGATTGCTGAAAAGACGAACTTAATCGAGAAAGTATATAGAGTTGAGAAGAAAAGTGATGTTGCTAGAGAATATAAGATTCCCATGAGAACTCTCTCAACACACCAACCACTAATTGCAGATTTCCTCATTCAAAAGAAAATCTGATCATATGAAGACATTGTAAAAGACAAAGGTCTTCTAGCCAAACCTGAATAAAGCAAAAGAAAAATCATTGGAAACTTTGCGATAAGCAAGGATTGGAGACTTTGATTGAAAACTATGATGGCAAGACGCTTAATTTTAAGAATAAAAAAGTCAATAGAAAAAACAAGAGAGGTTGACAGTTTTACTTGCAGTAAATATGGACGGATCGGAAAAATGTAAACCATTACTGATGAAAAGTAATAAAACCGCTATGTTTCAAAGGGTAAAAGCCGGTTTCTACTGTTTAGGGTGCCAACTAAGCAGCTTGCATGACGACAGAACAATTTTTAACAATTAGCGTTGAGCCGCTAATTAAGAGAAGAGACGACAAAGAGGAAAATTGTGATGTATACGATAGTCTTCCTGCATTGTCCAATGTAGAACTTTACTTATTTCCCCGAAAACAACTTACAAAATCTCTCCTTAAACCTCGGCAACAAAACCCCATCCCTAATTTTAAGACATTCTATCGCAAAGAAACTGCTAATCTAACTGCGAATATCACGGCTTTGACGGCTTTGACGATGAAGAAGGGCCAGTAACAGACTACTACTTGTCACCAGCTATGTAGGTTTTCCTGACTTTCTTCAAATGGATAAAGATGTTGCTGTCTCATATGCACCAGCTGATGGCGAACTTTCATCTGCAAACTAAGAAAGCAACGCTGAAAATGAAGCCGATACTTTAGAAAAATCATTTCAGCCACTTTTAACACCTAAAAAGATATCGAGTGAGCCTTGTACTTTGAAGCAAACCAATGTAACTGATTTCTTTCGAAATATTAATTACTTCGCGTTATGAATATAAACACATATATATGTATGCGCCTCTTACCTTCTGACACTGAAAAAGAATAGCAGTTATTAAATAGTAATGGATTATAAATATTCAATAATTCAAAGTTTTATCTCTTTTCTCTCGAAAAGTTCGAACCATTTAATATATCAAACACTCAATAATTCACAATATTTCAAGAGTCCCTCGAGTTTCGAATAAACGATAGTCGACTGTACATGTATTTGTTTACCAGCATTTGCATATGTGAAATGTCCGTCCGTGCGCATGGGTCGCCTGTCTGCCGACAACATGTCCTTCACTTCTCAATCGTCAAGCCGTTCGATGCAATGAAGCATGCAAACGCGTTGCTTGTAAATGTTGTGATAGAAACACGTGGCATATATGTGTATGTGTATGCTCATACATATACGCACTCTCTCTGGTGCATAAATATTGCCATTTTTATGCATGACCAAAACCACCGATGTGAAGTTCAGTTCAGTGTTTGTTTGCATAGAAAATCGAAGGAGAGAGAGAGAAAGAGAGGCAGAGAGAAGATGTCACAGCAAATTTCAAATCAAATCACATTAACATTAACAAATACTTGCTACAAAGTAACAAAAACAACGAACAACAACAAGGAAAGTTGAAAAGTTTATTTTTAGAAATTGTTTGTATGCGAAAGGGAAGTGCACCCATGCATACAAGCTGGCATGTATGTATGTGTGTGTGCAGCCAATACATTTCCGAAATGGTCGTTGGTGAAAAACCAAAATAAACAACTAAATAAATAAATACAATAAATACAAAAACACTCTGTATGCATATAAGTAAACGCATTTGTGTCGAAAGATTGTTAGTGATTGGTTCATGTACATATGGAACCGAAATAATTCAATTTGGGCACAGTTCTTGTTGATTAGAAACTTTCGTTAAATTTTTAAGTTTAACAAGCGGTTTGTACAATCCGATTCTGAGCAAATCTGAACTGGTTTTTATTTTCTATAGTTTTTGCAATTAATACATACAAACATACATTTTTCGAATATCCAAACGATAATTTTGCTAAAACAGGGATGTTTCTGTTATCTAAAAAAGAAATGAAACCGTTACTACTCTTCACAGTTGAACAATATAAAAAAATTATTTTCATGATACAGTATACTATCGCCATGAGTCACTAGATCCCCACTTAAGTTACCCGAGTAATGAAATCTTCTGAATGTTTACACATCTTTGCGTAGAACTCTCGAGTATTACCGTTATCGGCCAGCTTCTCAAACTATTCATGCTCGCCCACATCTGGCACTCATTTCTTTTCTGTCTGCATAATATCTATATTTTTTTGTGCTGGAGTTTAGTGCCATAGACAACCATATTTCGGGCCCCGTAGAAGTCGATCAACTTTATCTCATCTCATCCGAGGCGTTGTGCTACTTTTCAATGCAGCCGGTTTTTACGAGGCGGGTTCCAAACCCAGCGCTCAACCAAGTAGCCGCTTGCTTTAAGACCGATGCCCGCTCGCAGCTCTACCTCTGATGAACAGGTGCAACAATTAGACGTCAGCGATCCATTAAACCGAAGTAGAGTGGCTCCACTGAGGCTTCCTCTCTTAGGACCGTGCCCCAAGGCTTCACACGGTTTTGGTTATCGCATCTTGCTCAAAGTTTTCTCACGTTTACAGGGTGCGCGATATGGACACAAGAGTAGAAATTGAGTATAACCCTATAACAAATCATCTTAGTTAACCGAAAAAATATACAGAATATAGATTTTAATATGAGGAGTGTAATCATTTTTCTTTGCGCCTCGAGCTCAATGCGACATAGAATTTTTTCATAAAATTTATTGGACTGCTCACGCTCGATCTCATGACTCTTCGCCTAGTAGCACACACTGCTATATACTCGGCTAAATCAGCCGCCCCTAGTAGAATAGATAAAAGACATTCGCTACAGTCATAAATTGACATGTGATACATATCTAATAAAAAACGGAGAAATTCTTTCCCAAAGGCTCAAAATGGTAACAAAATAGAATCATTGAACACGACAATCTATTCAAATCAAATATGCAAGAAAAATCTGCTGTCAAGCTCATTGTCCAAGTAATAAAATTATATGTGTACAAAATGGCTTTGTAAGAATTACATTTGAAGGCAACAAACAACATCAACTACAACAAAAGCACAAACAAAAATGACCACGGCCCATCGATTGGATCACTCATATGTGTATTGGTAAGCTAACACCGAAGAGAAGACAACAAGGCAACATTGAAACTAATCGGCGCACATCTCTCCAGGCTCATAAAAAATTTAAATTTGTATATACTTACACACTCGTATATTACATGTTATACTTTTGCATGCAAATAACGGGTCTGTCAGAAGAGAAATCCGAAACTAATATTATTCTATTTATATTTGCTTTTTGCTTTGCATGTCGTCAAATACACTCACACACAACGGCTGGGAACATGAAAAATAAACCGAAAATGGCATAACAATGAAAATGGCAACGGCAATGGCAATTGCAATGTTGAATAAACAAATCATTGCTTCTTTATTCAACTGATAACCATGGCATGGGGTATTCTGGCTTCCCGACTAAAGGTTCAACTAGATGAAGCAACTGATGCATGGGGCATTAAGGTCGAGCGAGTCGAAATGTGAGTAATCATAGAAAATTTTATAACATTATGTATGTTTCTCCAAATTCGTTTTGAAAAATGTATAATAGTAATAATAATTAAAACCTCATAGAATCAATTTCCTACCCGCCTTCGAGTACCTTTTATATATTATTACCTCCACTGAAGCGATTTTCCGTCGTTGTCCACGTCCAATGGTATGTGTCTTGATGATTTTCTACCGATTGAAGGGACCTACAGTTTATTCTAAGCAGCTTCCAAATGTCGTCAAGTGATAAATATACCCGGTGGAATTGTCATTCCCTGCCGAAGATCGTCCACAACTAAGGAAATTAATTTTTTTTTGGTCGAACCAGGCCCAATTGCGCATTCGCATTTTGGCGTTAAATGGAAACCCCCTGTTGCTTCCAAAGGAGTGATGATCTACGTCTTTCCCTTCTTGCTCTTACGGTTCCTTGTTAGAAAAACTTCGAAAACACCCCACAAGAGCACGACTTAAAATCACTAAAGACTTATGACTGTCAACAGAGATATTCCATTCGCTTCGTTTTTTTCCAATGTGGAGGAAGCAGAACTAAAGGCACAGTGATAAGATTCAATCAGTTTGTTGATGTCGGATTTTAATCTTTCTTATAAATACTCTAGATAAAACCTTTTTGTGATATCTTCTATCCTCGAAACGTACGTACATGTCATGTCGATTTGCTTGAGTGATTCTTGTTCCGATGCTAACCAGACCCTGGCGAAGTCAATCAGCCTTAGCTCATTTTCGATGTTTCGTTGTTGCACTGAAGAAACCTTCAACGAAGTCAGCTCTCATAGATTACTTGGAGACATCTTCTTTGTTGTAGAAAGCATTTTCGTGTAAATAGTAATTCTCTTCCGTCGAAGCGTGGCAGTAAATCAAGCTCGGCTGTGATGCTATTATAGGCGAGATGTGCATCCAAGTCAAATTTCGTATATCTCGTCGCTCCTAATTTTCCTAAAATATTCCATCTCACAGGTTCAAAGCTATTCATTTCACAAGTCAAAAATTCTCTGAAACTCCGAATAGCTCACGAAATCGAAATTCATCAAGATTACGTACACCTCACAAGCACACTTTACCATAACATATCCTTTTTCTGCCAATAAGCATTATTACATTATTAAATTTTTTGGCTGCCTTCTCTACCAAAGTTACTAAAGCCTTTAAGCCACGTTAATAATGACTGCCGCATAATAAACAAGTAAATACAGGGTGCATTGTACTGTAAATGAACTGTCTGTCGGCTTTTCAACCGTTTTTGGCTGCAATAAAGCGCCAGCATAATTAACCAAAACAATGTACAGCTACTTTGCCAGCATTTATGCATACTCATCAGCAAATACTTACTTATGAATGTACGCAAGGGGATTTACTTGTAAAATACATACCTTTGTATGCCAATTTACATATAACTAAATACGTCTGACTTGGCACATACGAGTGGATTTATTATATATATACTCTTATATATAAATATCTACATATGTTCGGTATGATATAAGTAGCAGATTTGAACTTTGTTAAGTCAAAGGTTAATAAGCACTTACTTGCATAGGTATGTATGTTTGTGTGCAATAAATCAATTTAAATACAGGAATATATTTAAAGATACTTCATTAAGCCGAGCAAAGAAATATTTAAAAATTCGTTATTAAAAATATTGGTTACTATAGCGTAATTTTTACGAAAAATAAAAATAATATTCAATAGATACATACATATGTACTATGCATATGGCAAATATCAAAAATATTGCGTATACGCCATGTGCCGTTGTCGAATAGCAGGGCTTGTTTAGGCTGTTTTCAAAACCCATCCGGAACTTATTAATTATTTTCAAATTAGGTAAGTTTTTTGCCTTCGATTTAGAACTTTTTGAATCATTTCATCTTGAGTTACTTGATGTGGAGACATCCCCTCTCTTTCGAGTTAAAAACTCAAATATGAATGCAAAAACTATTATTTAGTGACAATTTGTAACAATTTCATTGTGTTTTTTGCTTCTTTATTTCCCAAAAATTTTAAGGCTGTGAGCGGAACTTTCCATAACAGCTTAAAGTCTTTCAAATTGAGATCTTTCGTACTTTGACAACAAATGTACCCGTCGTCTGCTCCAAAGCAAGATAATTGTCGTTTGAAGGCAACGAGTAAACCCAAACTATCGATACCAAGTTAGGCAGTTCGATAAAAATTTGGTTGCACGACGAAACTTATTTGTTTTTATACTATTTCAGTTCATACTTTAAAGTTGAGGGATGGTAAATTAATATACTTTTGCATTCATATTAAATTTGTGTTATTAAAAGCTCAACTGCTACAATTACACGACATTTGCTAGTGTAGTGTAGTTCTTAAGAACCATAAAACCATAATGCCACGGAATCTGCAGAGTCACGTAAAACAAAAAAAGCTGGTTTTAAACCTGTTCAGTTATAGAAAACAAATTCAATAGTTGAAATGTAATATTATTTTTACTACTATAGAAACGAGAAAGAGATACTTGTTAAGGGAAGTTATTACAAGAGCCCGTTTAGATCTCAGTAAAAAATTATTCTAAGCATTACTCTACGGCTGGGGTCAGTTCATTGATGGTAGATATATATAGTATGTGGAAATAACTCCAAGTGAATAACGAAACTCTTTTGTTCGCGTATGTGGAAATAACTCCAAGTGAATAACGAAACTCTTTTGTTCGCACTTGGTTTTAGCAGAATAGATTTCCTAAATAGACTTCCAGTTTTGATCTCAAGAGACAAAAGGTAAATTGAAGAACCTTTCACCCTTGAAAAATACATTTAAATGAGTTATTACGCTGAAGATATTTGGATAAATCCAACTGGAAAGTTATGTAAGATAATGTTGTTTACTATATATATATATTTAATATTTATAGTCCTTAGAATTACTTCTTTTGAGGGTACAGATGAATGTTTTGTTCATAGATCGCCGGCTGTTTTAGTTGAAATTATTTGTTTACAGTTGAAATTGATCAAATTTTTATAAGAATTCATCTATATATATTGAATAATTTTGTTTCCCCCAAATTAGCCAGCTACCATTGACCAAGTTCAGTTCGAACCACTCTTACATATATTTTCATGGAAGATTTTGAATTACGGGAAAACTTAACTCTCACTATGATGATATGATGTTATGTAGATAAATCAATAATATTATAAGAAATACAATACTTCCTTATTTAATTTAATGAAGAATTTAAAAAATATCATCATTCGAACGTAACCTCATTTTCGTCTGTACTGTACAAACCAATACAGCTCTTTCTCTAAAAGATATAATTGTATACAATTGGCACTTTGTAACCGCTGATACGATTTTCAGCCGAGCTCTTCCTCCAATTTGTGGTTTTGCATCTTGATGTTTACCAAGAAATGAAGGGACCTACAATTTATACTAAGCCGCTTCCGAAAGGCTGATGGTTTTTTTATTAGGAGCTTTATTTTATGTCAGAAATATACACGGAGGTGTTGACAATCCCTGCCAAGAGACGACCGCAATTAGAGAATGTAACTTATTTTTGATTTAAATTAATTTTCTATAACTTTTGTATGTTGGTAGTAGCAGGATTTGAACCCGGTCATTACGGATGTCAGTACTTAATGCTAACTACTCTTCTACCGCGGCCGCAAAGATAATAACAGATATATTACATCTGTGGTCAATTCAAACCACTCTTATAAATTTTTTTACAACCATTTAAATCTTCATTAAAATGAACTACATAATTTCGAAAATTAACCAATATACCAAGAAACATCTTTTGCTCAAAACGGGTATTTGTTCAACGAATACCACATGAGGTAATTTTTATAAAGAAATAATCAAACTATATCTACTGAATTTATCATCTCTTGGGTTGAATTTGAAACAACAAGAGGCATCGACTTGTGAGCTAGAAATTTGTCTCCCTTGAGTATTTTCTATAAAATAAATTTATAATACATGTTACATAGTTACATAAACGTAATTTATTATGCCATGGAGCGAAGGCATTTAATATGCCAAAGACGAGACAAATATATATAAAAGACAAGTTGTGTAAATAAAGCATCATGCTGTAAAATTCCAAAGTTGCTAGCTTGCTACTAGTCCCAAAATGATGGAATTTAGACTAATTCGAAAAATACCTACTGCCACAACTTTTAATTCTATTAATTAATGTGCCATTTCAATATAACTTTCTTGATATTTGTTCCATTGCTTTTCGGTTTTTTTTTTTTATTTTTTTACTAAAAAACAAAAAGTAGTTTTGATGTCGAATTCTTTAACGTATTGAGTAATTCTTTACTCATTTTTAACTAGTTCATTGCCGGTATATTTTGAGTAGTTGCCTTCTCGCAAAAATTGTTAAAATAGAAGATCGTTTTTTTTGGTGAAATGTTTGTTGGTTGACAAGTTTATTTTATAATAGGGTAGCTACTACGCGAGTACATACTACTGGGTAAGAATATCTGTGCTCGAGAACTATTGCTTGCTTGCTATTGGCTTGCCTTCTTCTGTCACGTTTTTGTTTTCAATCACGTAATTGACTATAATGACGTATTGATTTGTTTTCGTATGTAACGAGTATCATTGGTGAATTGGTATTTGTTCTAAAACTTATGACGGCTTGAAGTAAATGGGCAATAAAGGAAGAATTGCATTAATTTTTATTAGTGGAGCTGAGAATGTGCATTTGTTTTCTTTAATGTTTCATTAAAGTACTAACCATTCTAGGTTGCTTGTTGTTGAGCCTTTATCAAAGAAAAGTTGTAGAGCAAAGCGTATTTTCCTTTTGCTGAGTCAGTTTTACTGCATTTATGACGCCATATACCGTAATAAGTTCGCAAGATACAAAACAGTCACAATCACAGACTCAGCAAAAGGACAATCTTACTTATTTTACTTTGCTGTTTTGCGTCAATTGGAAATATCAAGTACAGCCATGTTCTTCTCTACCTGGTCTTTCCAACGGAGTGGAAGTCTGCCTCTTCCTATGCTTCCACCGGCTGGTATTGCATCGAAAGCTTTCAAAGCTGGAGAATACGGATCACATGACCTAGCCAGCATAGCCACTGCTTCTTGATTCACTGAACTATATAAATCTCGCCGTATAACTCATACAGCTCATCGTTCCATCGTATGCGGATTCGCCGTTGCACATGCGCAAAGGACCATAAATCTTCCGCAAAACCTTTTTCTCGAAAACTCCTAGTGCCATCTCATCAGATACTGTCATCGTCCATGCTTCCGCACCATATAGCAGGACGGGAACGATGAGGGACTCGTAGAGTTTGGTTCTTGTTCGTCGGAAGACGACTTTACTTTTTAATTGCCTACTCAGTCCAAAGTAGCATCTATTGGCAAGAGTGATTCTGCGTTGGTGTTAATGCTGGTTCCTAGATAGACGATATTATCTATGACTTCAAAGTTATGATTATCAGCAGTGACGTGGGAGCCAAGTCACGAATGCGATTACTGTTTGTTTGATGACAGTAGATATTTCGTCTTGTCCTCGTTCACTACCAGACCCCTTCGCTTCGCTTCTTTATCAAGCCTGGAGAAAGCAGGACTAACGGCGCTGCTGTTGAGGCCAATAATATCAATATCATCGGCGTACGGCAGTAGTTGTCCTCTCTTCTAGAAGATTGTACCTTCTCTATTCAGCTCTACAGCTCTTATTATTCTCTCCAACATCAAATTGAAGAAAACACACGACAAAGAGTCACCCTGTCTGACACCTCGTTTGGTATCGAACGGCTCGGAAAGCTCCTTTCCAATTCTACCTGCGCTTCTGGTGTTATCTAGCGTCAGCTTACACAGCCGTAAAAGTTTTGCGGGGATACCAAATTGAGACATAGCGGCGTAATGGCAGCTCCTTTTGGTGCTGTCGAAGGCGGCTTTAAGCTCGACGAAGAGGTGGTGGGTGTCAATCCTCTTTTCACGAGGCTTTTTCAAGATTTGGCGCATGTGAATATCTGGTCAATGTTTGACTTACCAGGTCTGAAGCCATACTGATAAGGTCCAATCAGTTTGTTGAGGATGGGCTCCACTCTTCCACACAATACGCTTATAGACGATACTAAGGAGGCTTATTCCACGGATTCATGGATTGTACAGAGCATACTTAAACTCCAATCATCTGGCATGCTTTCGTCCGACCATATTCTGCAAAGTAGCTGATGCATGACCTTGTCTGCTTTTCACCGCCATCTTTAAATAGCTCTGCCGTTAGGCCGTCAGCTCCCGCCGCATTGTTATTTTTTAAGCAGGCGATTGCTATTCGAACTTCTTCTTCTCTTCCATCGTCATCGACTGGGGTTTCGGGTTCACCATCTCCGGATTCTCTATTTTCACTACTATTCAGCAGTTTGGAGAAGTGTTCCCTAGTTTTAATTGAAAATATATTCTTGATAGCCATATTACTTAACAGGTCAACAAATTTTTCTTCCTCCAATTGTTCTTCTCCAATTTGTGTGTGCGTCTTGATGTTTTACCAACAAAAGGATGGCTATAGAGGAGAATCGTTATTAGAAAAATTCATTTCTTAGAAGTTTGGAAGTTGACCGGGCCTACTGCGACTCGGACTCAGGCCTTCTGCATGGAAGCTAATACATAGTAAAAATTCATACTGATATCTCTTGAAAAAGCCTTTTCATTAAGCATTGGATCCTCTTTCCGAAGTCTGAGTATTTTCATTAGTGTGTATTTTATAACATTTGAAAGACTATATTATTATTATATAATGCTATGTTTTAATGCTGAAGGCTGCCTGATTTCCTATTGAAAAAAAACCTATGAACACATCTTCTATCTCTCTATTTTCTTCGCTTTCCGGTTATTGTCGCCGTAAAACTTAGCAAATTGCCCCAATAACATTCAAACCCTTCTGGAAAAATAAACTAATATAATAGAACCAAGCTGTTTGTTAATAATTTTTCTTTTTAATCTTTTCTCTACCACTAAGTTTGATAAAATTATGATCTGAAAACAAATCTTTTTTCTTCTTTTCATGTTCCGCCCCAACAGCAAGGATGTACGCTTACCCGTACAATTACAACGCGCTATGGCCGCCGAAGCCGAAGCTGCGCGGGAGGCACGAGCCAAGGTAATTGCCGCCGAAGGAGAACAGAAAGCCTCCAAGGCATTACGCGAAGCCTCCGAAGTGATCGGAGGCTCACCCGCCGCGCTGCAACTTCGTTACTTACAGGTAAAAAGCAATATGAAAATCTACAACTCTTTTTCAAAAAGCTAACTCAAAATTTTGCATCCGCCAACACCACAGACACTCAACACGATATCAGCGGAAAAGAACTCGACAATTGTTTTCCCACTACCAATCGATTTGATAACATACTTCCTGAAGACTACCGAAGCGACGGCCCAACAAAATGCCATGGTGCCTGTGGGGCAGGGAACGAGTGTTCAGAATTCACCGCAAGCGTCGACATCACCGCAGGCTGGCGTACAGTCGGTGGCGATGTAAAAACAAAAATAACAACAACAAACTCATAATGGCGAACCACAGAATGAGCCCTTTATTTTATGTAATTTGCCATGAGTTTATTTGAATTCGACAAATTAGAAAAAAAGTTAAAAAAGGAAATAATTATCAGAGGTGAGCAAACCTTTTGTTCGAGAAATTATGACTGCTTAGTGAGCTGTGAATGTTTCAATGAAAAATATTTTGGAATGGATAAGAAGAAGAGATAAAAAGTGTGCACAAAAATGATATTTCCACCAGCAAAAGTCTCAACTCTAAAGTTGATAAAATGGCAAAGATTTTGGTCAAAAAAGATGAATAATATATTTGAGAAAAAATGCGTCAACAGACGCAGCTTGTGATCAAATAAATAGTATGAAGTAGATAGCAGTGGTTTTGAAATAAGTAACTGTGGGTCAAATAGTCCAACAAATATGCCCACCATACTCAAACCTCCATTCCCATTTATCAACTCTGCATCACTCATTGTCGAAAAATATTGACGAATACTTTTTGTGCGTACTTTAAGCCTACACAAATATACTCATGTATGTATATTTACATATATATGAAACGTAGTAGTTTATAAGTAGTATTAGGGCGTTGAAACAAAAACAAATGTTGCTAAAATGGCGTTAAGTTTGATCGATTAGCATTTAGTCAAGGAAAGTTTATGAACACTTTAAATAATTATTGCGAAAAAGCACACACAATATTATTATTGTACTAAAATTCTCAGCTTCATTCATTGCTGCAATATGACAACGGAAAATATAATATAAAGATGATAAGAATTTTTTCATAAGTTCACTACAAGAAGCACGCGTTTAGAGCATACAATTTTTAAAACACTTTCAATTAAGAAAACAGTTTCAATATTGCTTAGAATAAATATTGGTAGTTAAGCAAATATTTAATGCGAAATTATTTCAAACATATATTAGCTATTATAAAATATATAAGCCTCGATATTGTTTTAATTCCCGTTAAAGCATTGATATTAAAAATCTCGAGAAAACAAAAATAATTAATAGAATAAAATGAAATACAATACAAACAAATAAAACAAAATAAAATAAAATAAAATTAAAAAATATAATATTATAAAAAAATGGTATAAAATAAAATATAATATAATAACTGATATAATCAAAACCTACATTAAAATAAAATAAAAAATGAAAGAGAATAAAATGAAAAAAAATAAATAAATAAATTTTAATAAAATAAAATATTGCAATAATTTAATTCTAATTAAATGAACTAAATTAAAAATTCAAATACACATTTTGTACATATATTCACATTTACTCATGTATTTACCCGCAATATATCTTTAAATTTAGGCAATTTCTCTCATTTGTGAATAGAGGACCCGAAAAAGTTATATAGAGTGTAAATAGAAGCAATGATTATGCACTATACATATAATATAAAAAAGAAAAAAAAACATTTCGTAGCATTTTTCTAATAAGCACAGTCGACTTTTTTGTAAGGTATTTAGCATACTAAAATAAAATTAATTAAAATAATTTTGTACCCATAAACTGTTTTAATTTCAAGTTTTGATTAGGATTTAAATATTATATAATTATCGATTTTCGGCTAAATTCTAATTCAAACATCAAAGCCATAACTAACAAATCAAGTGACCTATGCAAAGCAATGACTAAAAACTAGAAAGACAAGCGTTTAACGAAAGTTACATCGAATCTATGAAATTGCTAACAAATATTTAAAAAACATATGTTTATTTCATATTTATTTTTGCATTCAGCTTAATTTTAACTTATTTAACATTAATTTATACCATTTTTACACTATGTTTCTTAATATTATTTAAAAAAATATTAGTTAACGTTAGATAAAAATTAATAAATAATCGGCAGCTATATGTTGATTTCAAAACTTGTATTGAAGAAAGCTTGTGTGATAAAATCATGTATGTTTTTAATTCACTGATGGAGTGCCAAAAGTTGAAGTTTAAGGGGTTACATAGGTCTTGAAGGCCAAAAACAGCTTATTATTTTCTCGAATTTTTTTAAAGATACTAAATAAAGTATACAATTTATTTTGTTTACATATAAAAGTACAATATGTGGGCAACATTTGATGAAAATTTTAATGAAAAATAGTAAAAGTTAAGGCGTTGGCAGTGTCGTGAAGTAGACCGAGCACATGAAAGTGCTTTCACGGTAGTCAAGATAACTTTTTGAATAATTATCTGAAGTCGAAAATCCAAATTTTTTCTTAAAGTAACTGAATTTTCCTTGTCCCTGAACATAAAATAATTATATTAATCAAAAATCGAATTTTTTATAGCATTTTTTACAAAAAAAAAACGTCATTTTTTGCATAAAATTAGGCCACATATCAATCACATGAAATCAAAGATAAAAAAAATTCTTCGTTCAGGGACTACAAGAACATGCTTAAAAGATGTGTGAAAAATTTGAGCTCGATCGCTTCAATAGTCGTTCAGAAATTTTAACTACCGATTTCAATAAAGTGGTTCTAAGAAAAACGCGTTTAAAGTTACGCGAACGATCGAGCCATGACAAAGACGGCGGGTCATAAAACTCTGTAATTTCTACATTTTCGTCTTAATCGGCTTGAAACTAAGGGAAAATTTTCCTGACACTTTGTACTTTTATACAAAAATACATCAAAAAAATTAATTTTTTTGAAGTTTCAAGACCTATGTAACCCCTTAATCAGCAAATCAAAACTCTTAAATAAATATATTTGTTTAATTTATCCCAAGTAAACTATTAAATGTTAATGTGTTATAAATATTAGGTTAATTAGGAATTTAAATATGCCAGGGTATGCCAAGTTTCTCTTTCATATAAATATTTCAAAGCTTGAATAAGACATTAATTACGATGCGGACAGCAACTTTGGCATTTTTACATAATCTAATTTTTCATTCAAAACTTACAAGATGCATTGTACACTACGTACTAAAAGCACACGTATCAGCAATTTATTAAATAACTTATTGACATAAAATAAAATAAAGAAAAAGGAAATTCTACTCTATACTGACGAATAAATTATATATACCGTTAAAATAGTATAAGCTTTCAAAACAAACACATAAATAAATACAGGTTTAGAATATTCACATATATTATATAACTAATATATAGTATGGAACTGCAATCAGTGGAGCCACATCATCAGAAATCGTATACAATAATTAAATCAAGATGTACGTAAAATTATTCAAACGGCAGAAAATAATATATTTAAACAAATATTGTATGTACTTGTAATCAAAGCCAGGGAGCAGCAATATGTATGTAACTGAGGAAATATGACAAATAATAAGTAGCTTTTATGGCACTTTGCATGTGTGTGAGTGAAAGAAGAGGCAAAAGTGAGAATCTTTAACTGAAAGTGGTAGAAAGTATATACTTTGCGGTAAAATTTAAGCTGCAGCTAAAAAAATATTATGAGAAAAAATTAAATTAAAGTAAATTAAATAAAATTACTTATAATAAAATAGTAAAAGTAAAATGATACAATTTGAAGTGAAATAAAAAATAAACTAAAATTAAAAAAAAAACAATATAAAGCAAAATTAAAAATTATACAAAAAAAATTCAATTGCAATTAATAAAACCAAATGAAATAATTTTAAATTAATTTAAAACTCATACTTATGTATATACATACATATATGGCCTGCCGTATTTAGTATTGCATTACAAATAAAGAACAATACATATACTTTAAGAGAAAATCAAATTGTATAAATGGCAAAGTTATACACTCACATACATATACAGCACATTTCTTTCAACTACGAATTTACATAACTTTGTACTAACATGATTGCATACTCACTTATTGTCTAACGTAGTTTCAATAACAGTAAATCAATTTTGAACTTAATTAAATAATTAAACCAAAAAATGAAAATAATTTCAAAATGGAAATGGAAACTTCTTCACCCACGCTCACACAAAGATAAACACAAGCCAATTAGGCAGTGTAATACTGAAATATAATACATTAGCGTACATATGTATGTACATTATACCGTAATAATAAATTCTCTTCGTGTACATCAAAGTCTGTAGTAAAGAAATCAAATTTTTTGAGAAAGAATTCCGCAATTTCAAATTAGCTGAGGAATTTTACTTTATACTATTTAATAATTAAAATTTTCGCAAGAAAACCGCCATATTTGGCATTGATAATAACTACTACATACTTACTATACAAACGTACATACTTACATAAATCAATACGTACACATTTTTTTTCATGAAAACGTGGATTAATAATAAATAAGAACAAAAACTAAAACAGAAAAGCTCAACAACAAATTTATTCGATAAATTTCGTCTGGAAGTTTCGTCATATTATTCATCACATAAATACATATGTATGTACGTAAACATGTACACAAGTACTACCAAACAAAATTAAATACAATTCAATACTTTTACTTACAACAATTATTACAATATCAAAAAAAATATGTAGAATGAAGCAAATGAGAGACCTTTTTCGAAGTTTTTAAATAAATAAATGTTTTTATCGGTGTCCAAAAACAAACAAACAAATAGTTTTTTTACTCAAGGAAAAATCAGTAAGTGTACAAATATATATGTAAATAAATATCTAGATTTCTTACTAACAACAGTAAATTAGTTAAGCATTTATAATAATATGCGAAACAGTTATCCTTGTCTTTGTTGGAACTATTGTAGCATTAACATCAACAACAATGTCAGCCTTGAAATCCAACGCAGAAGGTCTTACTTGAGACTGAGTAGTGAAATGAAAAAATAAGTCCACTCTCGACGAACAAAGACCAAACTCTATAACTCTCATCATGCCTGTCCTGCTATATGGTGCGTGGGCGACTTTGACATAGTTCAGTTAATCAAATTAAAGCTGAGTAGGTCATATGGTCCGGATAAAAAAGAAGAATACTCCTGTTTTGAAAGTTTTTGATACAGAATCCGCCGGAAAGACCAGAAGAAGGATGTGGTTGTACTACGTATTTCCAATTGGCGCCAAACAGCCAAAGGGAGGAATGATAGGCGCGCTGTTGTTAACTCGGCTATAATCGCGTAAACGGTGTCTGCCTCAGTATAGACGAAAAAGATGAATATCTTTTATCTATATGGCTTTCCAGATAGATTGGATACTGTTACGTAAGTAAAGTTCTTACGTTCTGGAGTAATGAGTAGCAAGTAGAACTCACCGCCGACCCGCTTCAAGCAATAACATCTTAAATTTTAATACTCGCTGCATAAAATCTCATACTCAAAAACGTAAGATTAGTCTTGTTTGGTGACTAGATGGACGAGAACAATTTTTACTGAACTTTACTGAATCGAGTTCGTTGATCCAAAAACCCAGTAAAATTAATAACGAAAGAGCGTAATTTTGACGTTTGGTTTGGAGAGGAATTTGCAAATTCGTGTTGGAAAAATTTCAGCCAGTAAAAACTGGTTTGTTTGAAAAACAGTTGACAACTTGATTGATTTAAAATTAAAATTATAATAATATTAATATCCCTACTGAGTTTTCACCGAACAGGCTCCAGTAAAAAATTAGCCAGCAAGTTGTACAAAAGCTGTTTTTTGGTGGTAAAATTTGAATCCGTTTACTTATATAGTTGATTTTTTCTGTTTTCAAATATTTTAATAAATTTGGTAATTATATATTAGTATTTCAGCTATTATGAATTTCAAACTGATTTTCGTATTTAAGTCATCATTCCTGAAAATTTAAGCGACAAATCGTTTAACATAAATATTCGCCTTTTTTGAAGCCTATTAAAAAACATATTCATATCTTTGTCGTTGGATGGGTAAAAGAATTTAGAAATTCAAAATGCTATATAAATGCCCATATTATAAAAACACTTAGAAAAATACTTAAAAGCAGAAACAATAAACTATATAAATGAACGCATTCAAATTTTACCACCAAAAAACAGCTTTTGTTTAATTTGCTGGCTAACTTTTATTGAAGCCTGCTCGGTAAAAGCTCAGTAAATTTCTTTCTCTGGGAGAGTAGGACATCTTACTCTCTCAATTTCATTACTACTTACATTTTTAAACGAGCACTCGAACTATTTTAGCTAAGTTTCGGTAAATGAAATAAAATTACGTCGAATACTGCTCAAGTAAGTTTCAGTAAATTTGGTATTCAGTCCTTTAATCTTTTGATAAAATATAATCAACGAGGAATTATTGATTAGTTTTTTGGTTTCTCATCACATCTAAGAATTACAGCAATATGCCTAACGTTTTCCCAATAATTTTATGCACAATTTCATATAAATGCTTCCTGAGTACTGCATAACCTTCACTAACTTCCCGAAAGGTTACAATTTTGCTCATTAGGAACTAATGGCTTATAATAGAATTCCGCGTGCAGACTCAATTCATTTTTATACGGATGGTTGGTCTCTAAATCAAGTTAACTCAGGCCGAGTTTACTATTTTACAAATTGACCACTACTACAGAAAAAATTTTCTGAACTCTATTCGCCGCTCAGCTTGGCAAACATATGAATTTTGATTCGCAGACCTCAAAAATTACTCATCGGTAGGAAATTTCGCTCTAATGGAGAGGTTGTCGCTGAAACTGGGGTCTTTATTGAGGCGAAAATATATAATGTATATAAGTATGTGTTAGTGCGACACAGAAATGATTAAGTGGCACTCGATGGAAACTACGTGGAAATTGAGCAGCATTGTTGATATCTGATAGAAAAACACAATTCTTTTTATTTTTGAATTTTATATCATAATTTATTTCATTATTATTACACATAATTTCTGTCAGCTATGTTTAATGATTCATTCCCATTTCATTTTGTTAGTTATTACACATTGTCATTATTAAATATTATGTTTTAAATGTAATAATGTTTTTTATGTACAAAAAATTACCAACTACGCTAAACAATTTTATTTTCACTTTTTTCATTTTATATATATTTAGGTTATTCACGTTTATCCTAATCACTTTCTAATTATTCTGTTGTGTTTTGGTTTTCGTATTTTAAGTGTTTCTTATTAATTTTGTGTTCATTCACTTTTATCTGGTTTTACAAAATATTATTAATTTTTATTTGTTTTAATAACATAACATTAAGGTAAATGTTTAAATATGTAATGTGGGTATTCATGTAGGTGTGTATGTGTTCACTTATGTGGTTATGTAACATTGTTTGTATGCATGTGTACATTATATTTATATAAGAAAACGTACATATTATTTTATGCAATAATGAGGATGGATACAATGCAATTCTTCTGGCGATTTAAAACAAAATGCTTATATATGCATATATATGTATGCATGTAAGACAATAACATGTTTAATTATATATATAAATCATTAAGTTTTTATTGTTTTTCAATTAATTAGCTTAACCAATTGTATGCTTGTGTATGTGGGTAAATGAATGTGTTTATATAGGTATGTATATATCTACATGACTGTTATGAATGCATGTACTAATATGTATTTAAATCATTGTGGTTTTGAAAAGAGCACTATTTCGCTTGGTATGTATTACTAAACTGACTTTTTCAAAAATAATCGTAATCCTATATTTGCATTAAAGCCGCAATTTAATTACAAAAAAAAAAAAATGTGTAATCTAGTTAACGAGAACTAAAATGTAAAATGCTGTATGATAGTAGTTATATTAACTATGAGTAAATCCACAGCAGCTTTCACCAACACTTTCTACATTTGATATGTAATCATGTTTCAAACCGATAGTGTAGGTGTAAGCTAGAATGGATTTCAAATGTGTTTACGTGTATACATTTCATTTTCATTTAGTTGTTTATGCATTTCTAACTGGGCTGTTATTTCATACTACGCTGCTTTATATTTGACAACATATTCGCTTGTGTATATGTATATGTTTTTTAATGAGCTTATGTTGATTTCGTAGTTCAGTATATATGTATGTTTCTCTATAATTGTATTGCTACTGATTATAATGATTTCATTGCATATAATTTCTTTTTCATAAGTATGTACTATGTATGTATTGGTTTATGTATGTATATTAATGCTTGAGATATCATTCATGTATACATGTATTGTATATATGTATGTACGTAGTACTGACCTTATACATCTTTCTTTATATATATATTCGTAGGTTTTGTAAGAAATTTAGTTCCAAAAAAGTTGGACTTTTTATGAATTCTTTTTATTTATTTATTTCAATAAAAAAGAAAATAACTTTGGTTTCATTTATTTATGTTTTAATTTATGTATATATGTATGTATGTATATTTTTGCTACATATACTCAAATTAATGTAAGTATGTTACTTACAAACAATTGCTTTGAATTATCATTTTTATATATTTTTTTTACTATAGTGATCTTCTAATGATTAAATTTATATATTTGGAAAAAGATTGAAATAGAAAAAAAATTGTGAAAATCATGAAAAATACTATAACTAAAAATGGAACTAAAATGAGATAATAAAAAAGAAATATAAAGTAAAAGTATGTATGTATGAATAGTTTTGAAACCTTTGTGAGCGAGCGTGGGTGATGAAATTTGTAAATCTGTCTTTCATAGGAAGCATAAGAAGATAACGATACACTTAATGACTGATGAGAAAATGCTGTTTATATAATAACGAATGTCTTCGGGAATGTTTTTAAGTGATTTGTGTCAAGAAAAAAGTAGGACAAGTAAATGAAACTAGAGTGTTTAAAACAATTTTCTTTGCAATAATGACCTACTGAAGTAGTAAGTGGAAATTTAGTTGTTTCTCATATACAGCTAATAATAGCTTCAAAAATTGTACTTTTCAAAAACATTAAAATTTATACACTAAATTTGATGAGCTTACTTTGTGAAATAAGTAAGCAATTTCCTATAGGAGAAAAAAATTTATTTGCATACATTTCGTAAATAATTGAGACACAGACGCATAGAATAAGATTTGAAATAGTAGATCACACATTTATATATATTGTAAGTGGTTGTAATTTGTTTACGAAAATAAATTTAAAAACTGGTAATGTAAGGAAAACTTGTGCAACTGATGTCCAAGTTTGACTAAATCCATGTGTAAATATTTCGAACAACAAAATTGAAGTAAATTTCGTTGGCAATGTATTTGATTTTTGTTTAAGAGTTTAATAAAATATAATTAGACAATAAAAACTAAGATTATGTTAAAAAATAAAAAGCAACCATTTATTCAAACAAGGGATAAACACCAAGAATGATGTGACAGAAATTCATATTTAATTAACTTAAATTATTCGACCGAAAATTCGAAAACTGTTACAAATCTTTTAAGAAAAAGAAATTAAAAACAAGGCTTTAAATAAATAAATTCATGTATGGCCAATATATCATTAACAATGTACAATGTACAATATTTAAGAAAAAAAGTAGTAGTTTTTTTGTAAGTTTTAATGATCCACAAAATTTATATTTATCTGTGTAGTCCATTTATATTGCATATTTTTCATAGCATTGTAGGTTAGTTGATTTTTATAACTAAAAATATTTGTAATTATTTTCTTAATATGTATGTATTAGCTCGTAATTTTGCGATTTTTAAATTTGATTTTTTAATACCAGCGCTTGCAAACGTTAGATGCCTGAAAATTTATTAGAAAATGTTACTTTTGAAAAACTGTCAACTTTACTCATATTGACAAAAATGTACAGATTATTAACATCAAAAAAATTGGAAAAATGAATTGTAATAAAACGATAACAGTCACTTTCGTAAAGACAATTTATTTTTTACACTTTAAATACAAATCGCAAAACTACGCAGTCTATAATAAATGCAGTGCCTGCTTTTGCTGATTTTCTTAGCTTGAAAAATTTCTTAAACTCAATTTATCTAAACTAATACTTAAGCACAAGTACACTATGTGGGAAGAGTAATAGTAAATTCAATTCGAATTATTTAAAAGGTTTCAATGAACTTACAATCCTATAATTACTTAATCATAGTAATATAAAAATCCAAAGCAAATAATAGTGCAAACCAAAACAAAAAAAGTAAATTTCAGTAATTAGCTGGATAGCGAGAGATATAGACTGATAGGTAGAGACGGCTAGTAAAACTTAATAATTAAGAGATTGTATTACTATTTTTCGCACGAATTTGTTGTTACTTTTTTTTGCCAAATTTGAACAAATCTTATTTGTTCATTTCTAATGCTGTTGACTGACTACCCGCGTTTTTAATTATTTTATTTTTTTATTTTTAGTTATTATATTGTATTTAAATATTGTTAAATGCTTTACTTTCATACAGCACAATTCATTTGCCATAAGCTTAAAATTACATAAATACTTTTATATATATAAATTATAAAAGATTTCGCTTATCAACTGTAAAATATTTTTATGTTGTTTTTTCTTTCTTTTTCAGATACTGCTTACGATAAACGTACGTACATATATAAATAGCATACTAGTACCATACTTATGTAACGTATGTGTATAATGTAGAATAGCTTTTAGCATGTAGCAGTATCTTTTTGTTTTCTGAATGTAAAAGTTGTCTTTTAATTGGTACAACAACTCATTGACAATACATTTTTTCGGAGCGCCATTAAATTACGTAGTGCACCTTGATTTTGCTGCTTTGCACCAATATTATTTATTTATTTTTTCTTATTTTTTTTTTAATTTATTTTATTATTTTCTTAAATACGCGATCTTACATCATCTACTACTCAATTCAATTAAAAAGGCTTAAAATTAAATCTAGTTAATTTATATTTGTTTGTTTGTTTGTATATACGTATGTATATGTTTATGTATGCACTGGCAATAATAATCCTGTTGCAGCACTCACGGCAATATTTTCGTGTGCTACACCAGTTTAATCCTGCACCTCCCGATAGGGCACCTCTGACGTCACAGTAAATGATTCGAAATAGTGATTTAAAAATTCGAAAGTTGGTCGTTTCTCCGGCACCGCATCCCAACATTGTAATAGTAGATGATAAATATTATCGGGGAAATAATGATTTGTTGGTTTTGGCATACGAAAACCTCTTTCGATATTCTCAATAACTTCTCGACTATGCATTCCCGGATATGGCACTTGCCCATAGGTGAAAAGTTCCATTAATAGTATACCATAAGACCATACGTCGGATTTAATTGAAAATTTGCCATAAATAATCGCCTCCGGGGCAGTCCATTTGACAGGGAAACGTGAACCCTGTTTTGGGCAGTATTCATCATCGGCAATAACACGCGCCAAACCGAAATCACAAATTTTGGCAACATTATTCTCGCCGATTAGCACATTGCGTGCGGCCAGATCACGATGTATGAGTTGTTTTGATTCGAGATATTCCATGCCGGATGCTACTTGTGTTGCAATATAAATAAGATCTTCAAAGTGTAAATAGCGGCCATCACCTTCACGTAGAAAGTCCAATAAGCTGCCTTTCGACATGTACTCTTGCACAATATATATGGGCTCCTCCTATGTGAAGAAAATACGAAAATACGAGAATTCAGTAAAAGTTAAACAACATAAATATGTTAAAAAGCTGATTTGTATTCACCTGCGAGCACACGGCGTACAATGCCACCAAGCGATTGTGCCGAAATTTTTTCATTATAGCTGCCTCTTGCAGGAAAGCCTGTGTCGACATGGTACCCTCGCGCAGCGTTTTCACTGCAACGTCAATATTATTCCGCCACTTGCCGTAGAACACCTCACCGAAGTTGCCGCGGCCCAATTTGCGAATCAACTGTATTTCGGAACGTGGTATTTCGTACTTGTCACGCAATTCCGGTCCCAAATCCCACATTTGTGGCTGTGGCTTCGGACATGGACGCGAGAGTATGTGACAAAGTCCAAGCGCATTTTCTGCAGAAAATTAATACGAAATTAATATATATATTAATTGTTACCGAAAGAGCATTTCTGAATATACAGTAGTTGTAAAAAACGGTAGTCACTTCTAGATGTTTTTAGAAAAACTTTTGATTTAAGAAAATAAAAAACTCTTTTATCATAATAAATTTTTGGAAAGTCTGTATAAATAAAGGAAATTGAAATTATGATGCAATTCTTAAATCAGCGGGGATATTTAAAGAAAATATTAATTTAACCATAAAACAACCATATAGGTACTAAATCAAATAGAAGATTCTCTAAAATCTCTTAGAATATCTTTTTGCCGGACATAGACAACGCTGTATTCTACGCTTCCTGATATGTCTCTAGTTTAAAGAACATTACTGTTCTTATCGCTTTTTATCGATAGCATATTGAAGTTCCTGCAGACAAGCTCAAAACGCCGATGACGTGCTTTAGAGATCGCATAGCTCGTGCATTTCCTGCAATTCTTGCTCTTTACCAGACTTAGCCAACAAGCAATGCCCAATTAAGAGTTCTTCTAGAAACCTGATGTCTGACCTTTTTGTCCCCAGTAAAAACTTAGTGTCCTGGTTAGATTCCTCTGTCTACTACTGTACTTTCAATATTTATGCTACTTACTACTATAGGCCATCACCAGCGCTTGTAATGAAGGAAATGTCTGATTTGTAGCAATATAATAGCCGCCATTGTCCAACGGTTTGATGCGATAATGCTTCACATGATAGCCACGGCCATCCTCCCAATCCTTCACCGAAAGTGAATAACCATTGGGATTGTGTTCAGAGGGACGCACCAGAAATGTGCCGCGTGGATTCTCCTCAGCCAACAAAAGCTTATCGGCCTCCTTGCGTAGAACATTTTCAAAGAACCAACTGTGAAGAAAAATAGGTAAATGAAGAGTTGAAAAAGGGTGTGTAAATATATAAATGTATTTACTAAATAAGTCATACTTTGAAGATCAAATAGAATATAATACGAATAGGTATGAGCTTGAAAGTATAAATTTGCACTCACTCTTCACTGTTCACGCTGCGTTCCTCGGCAACAAAATTTAGCGGAATTAAGCCTTCCTGACGTGTACTCAAATTGACTACGCGCCACCAATCCGATTCAGTGTCGTCGATTACTTCCATCCGATCGCCCTTCATGAAACTCAAATCAGACTCATCGCGCGACTTGTAATCGTATAGGGCGACAACGACACGTCGCTTAGGTAAACCACCTTGTACACCAGCTGGAAATATAAATATTGATGAAAAAGTGTGTGTGTGTGTGTGTGTGTGTGTGTGTGTGTGATTAAAAAGTGCTAGTTACAAAAGGATATTGGATCAATCTTTAATTACTGCGTAAGAGTTTGATTTTAAGTTAATAATGTTTAATAACAATTGAATTAAATATACTAAACAGCAGCTGACTTAGAAGTTATTAGAGCAAAAGCCCACTGCTGTCAGACATAAGAATATTCATAAAGCCTGAAACAGTTAACAAAGATTTCCATAAACATAACCTCAAACACATTTAAGTACAAAACTCAGACTTTTGGTATTTTATTTAGAATAAGGTCTGAAATGAAATCAAAGATTGTCGGACTGTTGCCATGGTTTGATCCTACTGCCGGAAACCACCAAACTCTGAAAAATTGGTGCTTTAACCAAGATCATAAAAACTGATTTTTTATTTTACTGCTAGTTTTGAAAATACCTCGAGTTATGTTTTAACATGTATTTTTTGTCATAAATATGCATACTTTTCATATGTAGAAAATTGGCAGTGAAAACGAATTGTTCAAATTTGCGTTTTTGAATCAAAATGACTTTTTTTTAACAACTGAATTGATGCAACTTGACGCTTGGAGTAGTAGAATATTAAATTAGTATACGTACAATATTATAAAATTTAATAAATTTATTTACTACATGACGTATTGAAGTGACCATAAAACTGGACTTTCTGAGCTTGTCTGCTTCGCTTTGGCATATTTCATTACAACACAATTTACTAATTGAATGAAGAATGTAAGAAAAAAGATCTCAAAACAAGGTAATGCAAACCAACGAGAGGAGCGTTGAAAAATTAATGAATAACTGTATGCAATGCCAACTTTTTCTGCTTGCACTTTATTGTCGCTAATTGTATTGCACTATTTACGCGCTACTTTTTTTCGAACCAGTTTTTTCTGCACAAATCATACTTTTTTGGTGTCAGGCATGAAAATAATGAAAATCTGCTTGAATTTATATACGTATGCATGTATGTGCAGAAAAAATGCTGAAAACATAAAAAGTATGGTAATGTAAATAATTGCTTGCCGTCCCGTTGCCAACTTAGAGCTTTTTAGGCAAGAAGCCTTGGCCTCGCAGTACACATCGCGCACTCACAAATACATACAAATATCAAAATAAACACAAACAGAAGCATATCAACTCTCACAACATGCAAAACGCAACAACAAAAACGCAATAAGCTCGCCTGCCAAGCACATGTGGTCTGACCAGGCCGGGCTAGTGAGTCCAGGTCGGGGGCCACAAGCGAGGCGAGCACAGATATCAAGTGGCATTTGGTGCACACAAGTGTTGCTTGCAATAGAAAATCAGCTTTATTCTACAACGCCTTTCAACTTTGGCCTGCAAACGGAATTCGCTCAAAAGCAGCTGGTTGGCTGGCTGGATGGCTGGCAAATGCTGAAGGAAAGGCCTTTTCAATAATGAACACAGCAACTGAAGAAAAAGCAGAGGCAGCTACAATCACAGCTGCTATGCTCGATGCTGTGTTGTAAAGCCAATAAGCGCTTGTAAGTAATAGGGGGTCTCCTCGGGCTCAGCGTTCAATGTACTGTCGTTGTCAATGCAGTTCTGTGGTCGCAAAGTTCAGCGTCTGCGGCGGCAGCAGCAGCAGTAAAATAGCAAGCGTGTGCCCTTAGGGCACCAAGCTTCAATGTTGCTGCACGCACACTTAAACATTTTTGTTCATATAAATTAACGTAGATATTTAACTACAGTGTCGTGAAATAAAAATGCAGAATATTTTAAATAAAAGTTTGAATATATTACATATATATGTATACATATGCATATATACATGCATATATGTAAATATGTATGTACAATATCTATGTAAATATATATATTATATATGTATAAGGAATGTTTGTTTCGAGATATGGACACGTTTGTATTTATTGCAAGTAAGCGAAAATTAGTTTGAATGGTAATTCGACATGGAATAATACGATTATTTCATAATTTCAATATGGTGACATGGAGAATAGAAATTTTTCTGCGCCACCGGTCGTTAATTTCATTTGGTACTCTGCAATTCGGAAGCCAGCTGAGAAAGTATGATTTGTTTTTTCTCCTCTCTTAAATTTAATTCTGTTTTTTTTTTTTTTTAAAGCTGCTTTGAGCAAATCGAAAGTGTTGGAAACAATAATAGAAACGGCATGTTATTATTTCGCCAGTTTGACTTATTTGCACTGCGTTTCCGAAAGAGAGCAAGTGAATATTTGGTACAAGTTATAACATGCCGTCTCACTTGCCAGACCTAAACTTCATTGAATATCTTTGAGCAGACCTAAAAAGGAGAAATGGACTATTCAAAGGCAGAAATAAAGTTCGACAAGATATTGAAAATAAGTACAATAATAAAATAATAGTATATTTTAGTAAAAAAAAAAAATTATATTTTGTATCCATTTTTTAAGCCAAAATAAAAGAGTGAGGAAATGCTGTTGCTAACTTTGTGGAAATGAATTAAATTATTCGAAAGAAATTGTTGAATTTTATTCATCTCATTTAAAGGAAACCTTCTTGTATTAAAAGATAGATAAAGGAGAAGAACCAAACAATAATAGAGGTCTTCAATGGAGAAGCAACTCTGAATAAACGTCAAATGCCCGACTGAAGTAATAAACTTGTCGCTAAACTGAATACACTACACAAATGGTTAGAGTGCACTCTTTCTATTTAGTGTCACTCTAACTCAACTGTACTCTAACTACTGACTATGATTATGGCCCACAGATTTTAATTAATGTAAAAAATTTATTGGTATTGTATGTGTTGTGTTTTTTTTTTTTTTTTGACAGTAGAATGTTGTTCGTTTCTATTACTTTTTCCAACATACAAATATAATACATATTTATAAATAGGGAGATTTCATTTTCCTATTAGAGAAATGTATGGATCGCACATAAATAATTTGAAATTAAATTGGAAATTTATTTTATTCTTCAACTCTTTCACTAGTTTTGTCCGCCACTGTAGGCAACACACCCATTTACGTGCAAACAAGTAAAAATATTTAATTATTCAACCGCGTTAAGTCGTACTTAAGCGTTCTTGAGCTCAAGCCAAGCGAAAAGGAAAGTCGTCGTTTTATATGCTGTGACTACACGAAGTGCAGTTGTATGTGTTGCATGTGAGAAAATGCAGCGCATTAAGGGTCGTCAGGTGAAATATGTAACACAATAAACAGCGAAAACTGTCTTATGACAAGTTATGCAAATTGAAGGAATTCTTGACTTTCACTGTATCAAAATTAAGACACACTGAGTAGCGACCAATCACAAACAGATTAATTAAATAAAAGATGCGTTTGCTGAAGATTGCTTCTAAACAAAACAAGAGGTATACGTGGATACCTAATTGACAAATATAACCAGACAATAGAGAAATCCAAATCGTTCGGGGGTGACTCCTGATCTGGATGGATGGAAAACAAAACTGCATAGGTTTCACGTCACTGTTGGCATTCATATAACTGAAGTTGTAGCCAATTAAATCTACAAAGGAGCTACCTTGGTCTGAGTAAAATCCTGCCTGGAGAACATAGAAAAAGCTCTTCAAGACGTTTTGATTTTGCGAATGTGAATTTCGCAGGCGAAAGTATCATGAGTTCAGATCTGGTATAAGACGAAAGCCTGGAAGTGTGGGTATTCAACGTAAACCCTTCAGTTGTCCGTCGGTTTGGTCATTATTTAGACCCATAACATAATGTTACTATAATCAGGACTGGAGCTCTAGTATTTCGAATAGCAGCAGAAACTGCTAACCGCCGACTATTTCGAACCCTAAATACCTAGGAGAATTAAAATCGTAGTGATTTAACAAAGCTGACGATGAGCAATAACGACATAGACTTTTGAACTCAAATGTCTTCTTGACGAAATACTAAATAGTAGTAGTACGAGGGTAATACCAGACGGTGTGATTAAAAAGTTTTTCGCAGAAATAAGAGTGGGCGACTGAAAAAATGTTGATGTTCTCTTAAGGGGATATAGGACTGAATGGGTTGAAATGTGACTAAAACGGCGAGAAAAAATGGTGTTTAAGCATGAATAATAGTAAGCCCAATTTGCATAGCATACTTTTAGGCATTAGTTTTGCTTCCTGTTATTTGAGGTACTTATGTATATATGCAGGTATGCATAAGTGCGATTCTCAGGTGGACGGTGAATCAATGAACTTCAAGTGTCTATTGGATGTTAAACTCAACCAAGAACTGCTGAAAGAATCCACCAGAACAACCAAAAGTGGTGTAAGCTTGACTTACAAACACAAACTCGCTCCACAAATTTCGAAGAGCCAAAGACCTCAATAAATTCTCAACACAACAAATGGAATGGTATCACCTCTAATTTTTTCTCTGGAGTTCACCCCTGAACTCTACCTCTCAAAGCTTAGACAGATGGTAAAGCAGTTTTTACCAGTCTTGTTGTCCATGAGACAGACCTTTCATTAGAAGCCGAACCGACCTTTAAACATATATCACGCGAAAAAACACACATAAACAAACAGCTAAAGAAACACTTTTTTTTTAATTATATACATACAGATATATGTATATTCATATAAGTATGCATATATATAGAGTAAACCTTTTTATTAATTGAAAACTTCTCTCTCTACTCACTTGGTGTTGTACGCGGACGTATGATATCCGCGCCGCCCTTGGCGCCTATTTTCAGCGGCCCACGATTCGGATCTGGCGTATAACGGGAGTCCAGCGAACCGCCATTATTATGCTTTTGGCCACTATTGTTTATATGCGTTTGGCCGAAAGTGTAATCTGACTTTTTATACCCACTCGGGTAGGCGAGCGCCAACTCCTGGTCCTGTCGCTTACTGCAACATTTATTGCCCATCTTGCTCGTCTTGCTACTGCTGGCTAGCTTAGCTGACCGGCCGTTTTTGCTATGGAGTTAATAATAATGCTCACACAGTGGGTTGAAAGGATACCGTTAAATAAGTGTTATAAATAAAAAATAGTTTATCCTTTTGTGTCACCCAACACAAGCGAACACTTTGTGTGTAAAAAAGAACAGCAACAACTGCCACTCAAAATATATTTACATGGCATATGAAGTCACTCTATAATATTGTTGTTGGTTTTGTATCCAATTTTCAATGCTTTGCACCGTCGTAAGTGGCGCGCAACACAGGGTTCGATTGGCCTTTTTAATTTGAATTTTTTTTTGACAACTTTCTCTGAATTAATGTCGATGTCAAAGGTCGATTAGGATTTGATGTGTTGTTGTTGTATTTTATTAATCATGTATGGATTATGTATGATTGTTGTTATTTAAAAAGAAACAAATGCTGATTTTTTCGGTTTTTGGCAATGTTATTTGTTGGTATTTGGTTCTCATTCGTTTTGAGTCATTTCAAAATTTAATTTTTTATTTAATTGTTTTTTTTTTTAATTAATTTTCATTTTTAATCTTAGTTTTCAATTAGAAATTGAACAATTACACGCACGGAATTCTGTGTTTTGATTTCGAGATCATTTGTTGCACGCCTAGGATTTCTTTTTCAATTCATTGATTCATTGTGTTTTTGTTGCTGCTTTGTTATTGTTTTTGTTTGTTTGTGAATACTCCTTTACAATTTTAAATTCAATTCGAGATATTATTTAAGTAATTTAATAAACTATCAGTCAAGTTTTTAATTTTTTCTTGGGTTTAATTTTAATTATTTTATTTATTGTTATTTTGTTTAAAAAGTTGAAAAAATTGTGGAGGGCTTTAAATTTGAAAAGCTTTGGATACAGTTAGTTGTTGTTTTTTTTTTTGTTTACCACTACTACTATTATTTTATTTATTTTGATTGCAGTTCGATTTTAGTACATAAATATGTATGTATATGTGTGGTGACACATGAGTTTGGGCAACACTACTGAGAGAAGTCAGGTTTTCCCAAGCGCTTATTATTATTATAATTGTTTTGCTACGCGAGCACTTAATAAAATTGTTAGTTTAAATAATAACTGTTGCTGTATTTAATAGTTAGCAATTAGCAGACGCTTTGCTCTCTTTAGTAGTTTGACTGTCACTGGCGCTTGTGACTCGCTCGCTCTTATCCCTCTGTACCGTGCGACGGTCGTACTGGCAGGCTGCTGCTGCTGCTCACAAGCGCACCTTCTTATTAGTACTGCGTGTAGGTAATGTGGATTTTGTTTATTTCACGTTTTTCGTCTGCTTGCTTACTCTTATTCCTCTTTCGCTCTTTATATTTGTTTAGTTTTAGTTGATTTGTTGTTTTTGACGGCTTCGGTGACCTTTATGTCGTCGTACTCGTTCGCATTCGCGTTCTCGTCCTCGTCGTCGTCGTTGTTGGAAATTTCGATTTTGTTGCAGTCATGTGTTGTTGTTCTTCTTCGCTGTTCTTTTGTTTATGTATTGTTTGGTTTCCTTTGATGGTATACTCATTGCTTATATGCGGCGTTGCCCCTTGACCCTAAGGTTTGGTTCGAATTCTTTGTAATTTTGCTATATTTTGTGTTGACGCTGGTGATATTGAAAATCTGTAATGAAAAGATGGAAAGAGAAAATTATCATAGAATATTTACGAAGAATGAATACAAAAGTTAGATAAAAGATAAATTTGGTTTTGGCATAGAAATGTATATTTACAGTGGATTCTGACGAAAATATAAATTTGTAAACATAAAAGGTGTTTCTACTTAAATGCCGTTATATGGTAGTACACTTTATGACTTTTGAAAATACTATTGAAACGAGATTAATATCCAACAGACTGATACCTAAAATCTAACTGAAGCATATTCAACTAGAACTCAAATAGACATCAAAACTCAAAATTGATTCTAAATTAAACAAATAAAATATTGCCCCGATAGTCATGAAGGTTTTACGGGCTGCTAGAGTCTTGCACTAAATATATTATATAATTGTACAACGTTTTAAAAATGTTCATTGGCTTATTCGGTATAATTCGCGTATGATAGGAAATAAAAAAAAACTTTTAATATGGTTGCCATGTGTTAGAAAATTTATTATAAAGAGCTTAAAATAACGAAACGTAGAGTTTTTGTGCATTTTTAGTCGAAAATAATACCAGTATTATAATATGTATATAATTTTTGTTTCAAGAAAACAATGAAATCTTTTATTAAAAAAATTTAAAAATTTATATTATAAAACATATTTCACAAGGTAGGCAACTGTTTCAATGAATTAAATCAAAAAAGGATAAGATACACAGATATACACAAATTTACTAACTGCAAACAGTTAAAAAACGCGTACATGAAACGAACGAATCTGTCGTACAGAGGAGGAGGAGTCTTGGGAAAATCAAATAAATGGAAGTTTCAAATAAAAATGATTGATAGTGACTATTTTAAAAGTGCTTTCAACCAATAATAAATATCTTGATTATTATTTTCTATTATTTTTTATTATTTTCTTATTATTTTTTATTATTTTTATTATTTTTTATTATTTCTTTTATTATTTCTTTTATTATTTTTTATTATTTCTTTTATTATTTTTTATTACTTCTTTTATT